AACTTAAAAAAAATGCAGTTGATAAATAATTTAGTGCCTCCTATTTAAAGCACATGTTGGGCTGAAACAAGGAAGGAGAATCAGGTGGCCTGTCATGTCTCCTCTGGGCATGGTGGCCTGTGACCCACCACCCCTCCTACAACCCTGTGTGGGCATTACTGGAGGCAGGGAAGTGAGGGGGTAGCGGACCCTTCTGAAGGAGCCCACAAGCTCTCTAGTGGCACCTGCTCCCAGGGAACAGGGTGAGCCACATTCTGCACCATTCGGCTTTATCAGAGCCACTACCCTATAATATGCAGAGGGACCAGCCGAGTGAATCAGAAGAGTCTGGGAACTTTTATGATCTGAACAAAGGAGATGGTTATTTGATGGGAATGGGGGGGGAAAAGCATGTCCTGCACACACCTGACTCTCTTCTGCTGACCCTATATAATTACACCCTGGCTCCCAATAATGATAGCTGCAGAAATTTAAAATCTTAAATCTTAGATGGCATTCAATCAGATTAGCCCCAGTCTCACTGGAGGGCTGGGGATGGTTAAGGAAACTATTTAGGCACCTCATCTTAAGATGTAGGATGGGACAATCTCACAATCTCCCCAAAGCTGTCCAGGCTACAACCCCAGATACTGGGCCACTAGGGTTGATTTTTGAGGACTTGGACCCCAAATACTCCCACTCTGTATCTAGGAAAATATAGTCCACCTAAGGTCACTCAATCACCTGGCTGGGCCACTGCCACCCACAGAAGATGTAAGACTAGATGGATTATAAATTATAACCTAATCAAGGAGGAAGAGCCCCCCCCCAACTGCCCCGTTCCTGCCCCACCACACAGATATGCATCCACGTACTTACAAAGTCATATAGATGTCCAGGCTAATCATTCATGAGTATCACAGAACGTCAAAGCTGCAATAGACCTAGCTTGACTCCTAGGCTACCTTTCCTATTTTAATAATGATGAAAAGCGAGGAAGGGTCAGAGGCTTGCCTAAGGTCACATACCTTGTTAGGGACAGAGCCAGATCTCAGGACCTCTGTGCAGTACACTGTCTACTACATCCCAGGAAGTAGAAAAGCATAAGAAAAGATGGAGCCCCAGGGGGACAGAGTAAAGGAGATGGAATAAGAACTGAGAGAATCAGAAAGGCTTAATGAGGGAGCTGAGTCCTGAACAGAGTCAGATGGCACTAACATTCTGTAAGTAGCTTGATGGTCCTAAGTGTTGGTGCATATGTTCTCAAATTTATTCCTCACAAGGAATCCATGAAATAATGTTATCCCTTCCCAACAAGAGGAAATCAAGGGTCTGAGAAGCTAAGTAGCTTATCCAGGATACACAAACTCTTTGTAATTGAGTCAACCCCAGGTCAGTTGAGGTCCTGGGCCCAGTTCTTTTCCCATGCATCACCAAGAGCTGGTCTTTGACTGAGGGGTTGACATGACCAGTGAGTAGATACTTAAATGAGTGAGTGCTAAGTGGGATTTTACGTCTTCATATGAGACTTCCCAACAGCTTCAGGTGTTGAGAAGGTGTATTAATTTTCTATTGCTGCTGTAACAAGTTACCATAACTCTAGTGGCTTAAAATAACAGAAGTATATTATCTCAGAGTTCTGGAAGTCAGAAGTCTGACATAGGTCTCTCTGGGCTAAAATCAAAATGGGGGTGCCTGAGTGGCTCAGTTGGTTAAGCGTCTCTCTTTGGCTCAGGATTTGATCTCAGGGTCCTGGAATCGAGTCCCACATCAGGCTCCCTGCTAGCGGGGAGTCTACTTCTCCCTTTCTCTCGGCCTGTCTCCCCTGATTGTGCACTCTCTCTCTCTGATATAAATAAATAAAATCTTTAAAAAAATTTTTTAAATAAAATCAAAATGCCAACAGGGCTATATCTCCTTCTGGAGGCACTAGGGCACAATCTGTCCACTTGCCATTCCCAATTTCTAAAGGTTGTCCACAACCTTTAGAAATTCCTGGCACACGGTCTCCATCTTCAAAAGCAACAATAGCCAGTCAAATCTTTCTCACATCACCTCACTGTGACACTGGCTCTTCTGCCCCCTTTTCCACATTAAAGGACCCTGGTAATTACACTGGACTCACTTCACTGTCATCAGCTCACTGTGAGGCAGAGAGAGAGAGTCCTTTGAGAGAAGTTGAACTCTGACCTCTCCCTAACTGCATTCACCCTCCTCCATGAGAACATGACCTGCTTTCTCCATTGTTCAGCACATCCCTATTTGGTCTCCTCCTGAGGCTCAGCCAAAGACATAGAAATGCATGTAGCCCAAGCAAGGTCAGCTCATACATCCTGTTGTAGAAAACTTCTGGAAGTTTCAACCAAGCAGTGTCCCTCCCTCAGCATCTCACCCACCACTTTCCTGAATTAGCCTCAGACTCTCCTCTCAGCAGCACTCTAACAAGCATTCCTTCTTCCAGGCTGCCTGTAACACCATTGCCCACCCTCCTTGCCCGGTAATTCCTACTGCACAGCAAAACACAACACAGACACTCCTCCCCCAGAAGCCTTTCAGGACCTTCCGTCCATTCAAGACTGATGAAGGGGCCTTCTTCTGGAGCATGGGGGCTTACCTCTGCCAATCTTCTCCATGAGACTATGGAGCACTTGAAAGCAGGGTCATGAATGACTGAAAGAATGAATGAATAACCCCAGTGATGGAGAATTTCTTATCTGCTAGGACTCCACAGAGTTGCCTTGTTTCTTAGACAACATTTTATACCAAAGATGGAGACGAAGAGGGAGAGGAGAAATGGAAAGAGGAAGGAAAATGAGGAGAGCCCCCCAATCCTACACCTGATTCCCAGAGTCTCCAAATGACCTTGTCCCTTCAGATACACCATAGGTCTTCCAAATCCCTCTCCTTATCCCACCCAGTCCCACTCTCACCTAGCTCCCAGAAGCCAGCCTGTGACCACTTCCACCACTGCCTCTTATAAGACACTGATGGTGCCTACACTAGTGCTACATCAATCCCTAAAGACCAAAATGTCACCTGGTCTGTCCCTAGCTCACATTTTAAAAACTATTTGGGGGATCAAGCATCCAAAAACTGTATAAACCTTCAAAGGAACATCTGATTTTAGCCAAATGCTATACTTAAGAAAATGACCTAAACACACTTCTTCAAGTTAACGGGGACACCATCATCTTGAAAGTCGCTGGGGTTCAACCAACTTTAGCAAACAAGCACAGGCCACCACTTTATGGCCTAAGGGCTTCTTTTATAACAAATGTTTTCCCATCCTCCAATACATGAGATCCTCCTCTACTCCCAATTACTTCCTACATTCACCTTCTTTATTCCTTAATTAATGCATTCACTCCATTAATGGTCATTGGTCTTCCACTTATTAGTCCCCTACCCTCTAGAAACCTACAACTCAAGGTAGTAATAAGATCTTACACATAAGATAACTGGAATTCCTAATAACTATAGTAAATATCATATAAACAGCACCAACAATAGACACTATAGGAGTTCAGAAGGAGGTGAATTCATTTCTGGTTTAATGTAATCAGCAAAGGCTCTTGCAAGGCAGACTTGAATGGAAACTTGCAGAATGTTTAGGGTTTCACAAGTCACAGAGAGAGAGAGAGAGAGAGAGGACACACAAGACAGAAGTGGCAGCCCACACAGAGGCTCGGAAGTGAGAAAACTGGGTGTGTTTGCTTTGAAACTTTTCCTTTCATCCCCCATGGTTTTTATTGACCTAAGTTTTAAGAAAAGTTTTTCCAGAAGACAAGGAGGAAAACCAACCTTGTTCCATCCTATTTTCTTGGTCACTGTGAAAACTCTGTAACTCCACTTTTAGAAATGTCATAAATCAAAGTTGAGAAGATGAAGATTACCTGCATTCTCCCTCCCATTTTCTTCCATCGTACTTCACAACCTAAGAGTAACAAATTACTCCAATTTCCCTAAAGACTTCTATGTAGGAAAATCACTCTCTCCGGGTCCTTTGTGTGCTTGGGGTCTTAGGACAAGCCATCTTGGGAAGTGTGACTTTCCAGGGTCAATGAAGAGACATCAGTGGAAATATCTGAAATGGCCCATACACGTCCTTGATCCAGACAGACCCCAGGTCTTAGGCATAAAGTCTTCCCATGGGTGAAGACAAGATGAGTAAGGTGGATCTTATCTCTCACCACATCCTGAACCAGTTTGGGCAGATAAGGAACCCAGTCCCAGTTTAACAGACTGAGATAACGTTTTATGAACATTCTTTTGCTGCTACCTCTAATGATAGAGATCTGAGAGGAGCCCCTCCCTGCTGAGGTCTGGTGAGGACCCAGCGGCCCAAATGGAGGCTGATTAACAGGCATCCCAAGCAGTGACTCAAACCATGGGCAATTTCAGAGGAAGCTCGTTATGGTGACTCCACAATTAGGACATCAGCCCACGTGGCCAGTCAGTTACTGTAGGAGGCAGGACCAGGCACTGTATAAAAGTCCCTACCTTGCTGGGCCCTGCAATCCACGTCCTTTGTTGAGTCTTGTTGAAGACAGGTAAGTGGTGACATCTGTGCCTTCTCTCCCTCTCCCTTGCTTCTCTGTCTTCAGGAGGCTGTTCTCTTCCTCCACTGGACTGTACTTTCCACTGATTTTTAGTGGTTTGCCATTTCTTGGGCCTCTCACACCATCCTGTGTATTCTGTCTAGTCTCTTATACCTGATTTTCAAAAAGACTAGCCAAACAGATGAAAAGGGAAAACCTGTGGTAGAACTGGGTGTCAGATATGACTGGGCTATGGGTATCAATACAAAAGCTATGAGAATATTCCCACCTAGGAGATGGGTGTCAGAGGGAGCTGAAGTGGGGATAGAAAAGAGAAAAGGATAAAAAACAGCAAACAAATAAGTTCTTATGGTTTATAATCATTCACTCCCCATTTCCTTCTACCAACCCATCATCTCCCAGTACCCAGCCTGGTACTGTTACTGTAGTTAATTTCAAATCTTGTGTTTGTTTCAGGTTCTGTTACCCACCCTAGGATGTCCTTTAATGATCAGCAGTGCAAGCAGCCATGTGTGCCTCCTCCATGTCTTCAAAAGGCCCAAGAGCAGTGCCAGGCAAAGGCTGAGGAGGTGTGCCTCCCCCCATGCCAGGACCCCTGCCAAGAGAAGTGCCCAGTGCAAGTTCAGGAGGTATGTCTTCCTCAGTGCCAGGAGTTGAGCCAAGAGAGTTGCCCACAGCAAGGCCAAGACCAATGCCCACCTCAGTGTGTGGAGTCATGTCAGGAGCTATCTCAGACAAAATGTGTGGAAGTTTGTCCACAAAAAGTCCAGGAGAAGTGCTTACCCCCTGGCAAGGGAAAGTAGCATCTCATAATGTCATCTGGGGTCAAGAAGAAGATGGCCAACAGATGAAAACCTAACCCAAGCCCGTGCTATGGTAACATTCACCTGTGGGTACCTCTGTGTGCACCTGTTCTTGCTTCCTGGCTTCTTCAGTATTCCAGGACTGGGTCTGTTGTCTCTGAAGGCATTTCTCTCTGTGTTTCATCAATCTCTGTGAATAATTATTGTTCTCAGCAGTCTAGTAGAAGGTTTCAACTGTAAGAATAGTGCAGTTGTTCAGCTCCCATGGGGCACGAACTCATCCAGCCCTGAGTGTATAACAGCCAAGGATGCTTCCATTCATCATTCAGAGCTTCAGCCTCTCACTCGAACCTCAAAACATGCTGACTTTTGATGGACATTGCTCTGATCACCACCACCACCACCATGGATACCGAGAAGAAGTTGGTGGTGTTATGGAAATAAAAAATTGGGTTGCTTTGTCTATGCATCCTAAACAGGAACAGCAAATGATTGGATATTGGAATGTTAGTTGTGCTTTTAGAAAAATGAAACAAAAGTATATAAATGATTGAATCCAAACAGCCAATAAGGACAAATGAGATGGGATGTCTGGGGTCCTGGTTGATCTTTGTGCTTGATGGCTGGTCTGCTTGGGCCCTATAATTTCACATACATTCTTTAGAGACGTGATTTATGTCTGTGGGGTGCAGGCTAGTCTGCTCTCCAGCTTCATTGCTTTCTTCTCCCTGGTGAAGGTAAATACAGAATAAAGCTGATTCCAAGGTTGATGTCTGACTTGATGTGTGCTCTTTCTTCCCCACTGCCCAACCATAGTCCATCCCTGTGATGATTACGTTTCCCTTTTTTTTTTGGACAAGCTGGAGTAGGAATGAAAAACAGACCTCACAGGTGCATAGAATAGCAAAGTTGACAGAGGCCTCCTGGAAGGTCACCTGGATTATTCCACCCCCACCCACAATGCATCATGGGCTCACCTACACACACATTTCCCACCTGGGAGAATCCATCAGGACCTGGGAACTGCCCACACTCAGAACTTCATATCCAAATTCTTGCCAGTATGGTTTCTTTCCTCTCTGATCCTTGCTTTTGGAGGAAAGGGCTCAAATGGGGAGGAGGAGAGTTGTATGGTAGAAGGGGTCCCCAATGAATCCATGATATCTTACAAGCATAGTATCCCTGTCAGAAGGAGCAACTAAAAATGCTTCTGAGATAAATAGACTCAAGGACTAAAATTGTCCTGCCATCCCAGATTTCAGGAAAGCCAGTCAGCCTGGGTCACCTCCTTGCACCATGTTGCCCCACTTCCTCTCACTGAAAGGGTCCAGCAGAAGCAAGACTTACTAACATGAAAGAACATGTAGCTGCTTCCTCAGTGGTGCCCTGAGGTCTGATCTGGACCTTACGTTAAGGGCTGGCCTCCTAAGAGCTAAACTGGCCCCTCATTCACTCCCCTGGGCCCCCTTTCTGAGTCAGACCATATGGGTATGCCCAATGGAGAGCTGCTTGGCTGATCTGAGAGCCTTGCAGCACTGGAGTCACCCAAGTCTCTTAATCTTAGAGATTTTCTAAGGCAAGAGAAGAGGGGACAGGCGGCAACTTGGGGGAAGATTTCAAGCAACGACCTGAAGCCCTGAGAACTCACTCACTCTGCAAATGGCAAACATGGGCCCCGAGCTCTATGCATATTCTCTGAGGAAATCCTGGCAGCAGCTCAAGGGGTCCATGTGTTGCCCCTTTATGTTTATTAGGGAACTGGTCTGGCCTCACAAAACAAGTAAGTGGTGAAGTCAAGATTCTAACTGGAGTCCCTCTTGACTCCAGAACAGAGTTCTTACTTGCATGAGGAAGTGCCTGTGGCACACAGGAAAGATTTCCTGAGCTGTCTTCACATCATTCATTCATCCACCTACCAAATGCCAAGTGCTGTGCCAGATGCTGGAGAGACAGTGGTGAACAAGCAGGCAGCATCCCTACACAGAGCTAGAGAGCTTCTTTCCACAGGCCACATGTGCCTAGGGGACCTCTCCAAAACCTGGACATCCCAAGTCCCTGAACAGCTCCAGGTGCCTGAATCACAGTTCTTTTGCCTCCCTGCTTAGTTGGAATAAGTTATCTCTTCCAATTTCTAACTTTGGAATAAACTCATACTCCCCCAGGGCCACAACCTGCAAAGAGGCTCCAGAGAGCCTTCCTAGCAGTAGAGCTTTTAACTGGGCTGACGGAGGTCATGACACTTCCCCAGCCTGGCTCAAGCCCAAGAAATGTCTTTGTTCTCCAGCACTAAAGGCGTGCACAGATTGGAGTCCAAGATGGGACACTCAGACGCTGAGCAGAACTGCTGGGCAGACAAGCAGAGAGAGTCTAGCAACATCAGAGAAAGGACAGCCTGCTGATTATAGGGGAGGCCTCAGGAGATGGGAAGGAGACACACCTACAGATTGTAGATGAAGGAACAAACGTCAAGGAGCCAGAAGGCCTTCATCAAACTCTGCCATGAGAACGACCACACCTTCCTCGTGCTCACAGAGCTCTGACCCAAGCCCTGCCCATACTGTTGCTGAGGGAATCAGGGCCCTAATGACATGGGCCTAGGACATGGAACAGTTAAGATCAAGCCTTTCAGAAAGAGGGATAGGGACATTACCAAGATGAGTCTGGATTTAGAAATTCTAGTTGACAATCCCTAAGGAAAAAACAAAACTGGAGCCCATAGTTTGAATATACTCCTAGACCAAACACCCATAGCTGCATAACTGAAATTTACAACTATCCTGATTTCCCCAAAATGTGGGCTCTGACCATAAGTGAACTTAAGCTTTCTTCACGTCAGCATGACCTCACAGTTTCCTGAGCCTATCGGCTACAAACAAGTAATTTATGCAACACTGTTCCCCTAAAAGGAATGTAGGCATCTAGTGGTTAATCATTAATAGAGATCAATGTATTCATAATTTATCAACTGAGCTGTAACCCTCATTCTGTGAGCTTATTGCCACTTTCAGCTTGAAATCTTCCAGTTTTGTGAACTATTCTTTTGTTCTTTTCTCTTAACTTGATTTGATCTCAGTTTTGACACAGTTAACTCAATATGTGACAAGAGTGTACCTCTGGGCTCCACGTGTCAAGAGGAAATGTGTCAAGAAAACAGACATTTATGGAGAACCTGCTCTGTGCAAGGCACCACACCAGGCTCTGGAGACCCTGGTGGAAGGCACCCATGTTGATAGCACAATGGCCTGAAGACTTTCATATTAGAAACTGTTGAAATTTATTTAGACTAGGAAAGAAAATACCCAAGGGAGCAGGATAGCTCTTCTCAATACTTTAAGTGCTTTTGTGAGGGAGGGATTGGATTTCTGTGAGGTTCCAAAGGACACAGTTGGGACTGATAGACAGAAGTTACCAATTTGGTTCAGTTTAAGAACTTTCTTATGATGAGATCTGTTTGCTGGTGACAGGAGCTTCCCCTGGACGTGCCACATTCCCATGAACTGGAGGAATGCAACTAGGGAGTGATAGTAAGTGTAAGCGCTAAGCCTCTTTCCAACCTGTCTGGCACTAAGACTCAACTAGCTCATCTAGGTCTCCCAGGCAAAATTGGGACCCAGGGGCAGAGGAGCCTAATAGGACAGCAAGACTCAGAAGGCCAGACCCTGAGGTCAGAAGACGGAAAATTACTTATGGCTTGAGACTAAAGGAAAGGAAGAGGTAAGTGATGGGAAGTGGCTCCCCCAAATTTAGGTGTTTTCTTAGTATGTTTTTGGGGTCCCAAACACTTCATCCCTGAGTGGCACCTTACAGTAACTCCTTACCAACTTCCAAATCCAATCTTCCCAGTCCAGGTTTAGAACACCTCTCTTCCCTTTATTCCTTGCTTCTTTGCCTTCAGGATCTCTTTTCTCTCCTGGACCAGAGTGGTCCACTGTTCCATGTACCTGTGCTCTGATAACCCATCACAGCCTCCTTTCTACCTGTACCTGCCTCTTTCCCTCTCACTCAGGATTCTCCCTCTGCTTGTGTCTATCAGCCCATGGGTTTAAAACTCACCTCCTCCCAGAAATCTTCCATGTCAAAGAGCCAGCAGGTGCACCTACACAGGTTCTGAGGGGTCTGTTTCCCCCTTGCAGCTACCTTGTATGTAATTATCTGTATCTCCTGTTGACATATGAGCCCTAGATGTCAGCCCTTGGGCCTTGCTGTGCTCTTTGCCTGTCTTCATGGGGCCGACGACACTGAAGTCTTAGGTACTCTCAGAGTCAGCCAACCAGCATGACCTCTGAGGCAGAAACAAAAGGGGCTTCTTTTATTGATAGGGTGACCAACCATCCTGGTTTGCCTGGGACTGACGGGGTGTCCAGCATGCAGGACTTTTGGTGTTAAAATTGGGTTAGTCCCCAGAAAACCAAGACAAGTTGGTCACCCTGACTGTGTACCTGCCTGTATAGGACATGACGTTTGGTGCTATGGGAACACAGAGGGAAAGCAGATGAGACTGTATGCTGGAGGAATTCACAACCCAAGGTTGGAATGGGCAGAACTTTCTGAAAAACTGTGTACCCAGAAGGCTTAGTGCCACTGCCTGCCCTCCTCCATAGCCCCATTCTGGGTGTGCGTATGTGTATGTGTTGGGTGAGGGACACTAGATCAACGGGCAGGTCCCCAGACTAACTCTGTGTAAGCAAAAACTGTCAGGTCCTCAGCCAGAGAAGTAGTATAGTGGGGGATATCCCCACGTCCTCCCACTCCATCATTAACCTCAAGATGTCTTGGCCAGTGGGCAGCAGGCCTGAACTTACCCATTCCTGCTCTTTCTTCTCTCCCATGGACATTTGCCTCTCACCTAGAGGTGGTTGGAAGAAGAAGGGGTGGGCTGGCAGGGCTCTGCCTCTCCCACACTCAACCTATCTGGTACCAACTAGCCTTCCTTCAAAAGCCCTGGGAACTGCTTTTCTTTTTTCAACAGCACCATCTACTGGCCACAGAGGCACTCCTAGCCTGGCTGTATGTCAGAGAGGACCATATATGGAGCTGGCCAATGCTAGGTGCTGGTGGAGGCAAGAGCAGACATGTAGCATCTAATAGAATAGGAGGAAGGCTTAATGAGCAAGACAAAGTTAAATAACTTACAGGGTGGGGGAAATAGGCATAAACTCAGGAATCAGACTGTGGGGATTAAAACCTAGACTCATCACTTATGATCTTCCCTTAAAAAAAAAAAAAAACTTACTGAGATTCTTGTAGGTACCAAGCACTGTTACTGTTGCAAGCACTGAAGATACAGGAGTGAACTAGATGCATAGAGTTCCTGTCTCCCAGAGCCTACATGAATTGGAGGAGACAGACAAAAAGCACCTAAGCAAATGCATAAATAAGAAAATGTAGGAAATAAAACAGGGAGACAAGATACTCTGGTGAGGAGCGGTGCTCTTTAGTTGGGAAAAGCCACTCTGAACAGGTGACATTTGAGTGTAATCATGAAGGACCCAGAGGAGCCAGCCATGTAGGGATTGGGGATCAGGGACAAGTATTAGCGGAGTGATAAGCAACTGCAAGGAAGCTCTGCAGGCAGTGGCCTCTGGAATATCACTCCAGACACACTACATTTGAAGGTGGACACTGACCAACTTTAGTCCATTCAAATGAATGTGAGAAAAAGGGCAAGGCCTCCGGGCACCATGTTGTGTAGGTGGTGACTGAAAGATGGGAGCATTTCATCCAGAGATGAGAAAGATTTACAAGGTAAAGGTCTTTAAATCTT